CCATTCTCTACCCAGCCTGTGCTTGCGGTTGGGACTGCCCCAACCCAGGTGCAGAACCTTGCACTTGGTCTTAGAGCAGCTTTTCACAGGAAATTCAACTTTGTAATTCAGATGTGAAAATCTTTGTGTTCTGATCCATCTCTCAGCAGCCTACCTCCCCGACGACCCCTAACAAGCCAGTAGTGCCACTGGAGTGGGCATCTGGAGTGGTACCAAAACCCGACCCTACAGTCATCAACAAGCACATACGAAAGCTGGTGGATGTAAGTATTTCAAAGAATATATTGACTGAAGAGAACAATAGCTTTGACACTGTCAACACTATAAGTAATTCCAAGCTTTTCAAGACATTATTATGGTTGGGATGAATTTCAGACATACAATAATAGATTACAGCTTTTACTGATACTTTCAGAAATATTTATTTTATTCCCACGGTCAGCGATGGGATTAGGAAACAGGTTTCTGGATGCAAAGGAGCAAACTTTCAGGAGCATCCAAAGCCAGGCTACCATTTACTAGGTTTGATGAGCAAATATAAATTGAAAGTTAAATTTTTGCAGCTCTAGCCACCCAGTTGATGTTGGGAAACAAAAGTACTCAGAAACCAGAAGTCACTCATTACTAGGTCCAGAGAAGGTTTCCACAAACCCTATTTCAGGTTTTCGACTTGCTGTCGTTTGACTGTCCGGAGCATACTACCTATGGTAAAGGTAGCACTGCCTTGATATCACTTTAAAAATGTGGGCATGAGGTCCTGAAGAATTATAGCTGGGATCAGTTTGGAAGGTGACATGTTAGATAATGCAAACAAACCCAAACCTGACCAGGTTCCTTTGGAGAGACTGAGCCCTGTTGTGTTGTGCGTGAGGGACTTTCAGTGATGGGAGTGGCATGCAGAGGAACCAGGAATGTGTTGTAGATAATGAAGCAAGATTTCCTTCCGTTTTTTACAAATTAATAACTAAGTCTGTAAGGAACTATTGAATTCTGACCTTGTCTGTGTTACAGGTCATTAATTAGGGTTATGTTGTTAAGGTAAGTTAAACAAAGTCTTCAGATCTCTGAGTCTTCAAATACATCTCATGGTTTACTTTTTATACATGCTCTTTTTTTAAAAAAAGTTTCATTTTTCCTCTAATGTGGGATGCCAGAACTGCACATGCTGGTCCTGTATTGCTTTTGTCAGTGCCATATGTGTTGATAAAAATCACTGCACATCCAAAACTCTCTTTGATAGCTTGTTTAAATAGGAAGTCTGTCGCAACTCCTTAATCTTCCAGAATGTACTGAGTGGGGGATTGCTCTTGTTCCTGTGGGTGGGGGGGATGCAGTCCCCCATTCCACAGTTTTGTCCTGTTTCAGAATGTATGATGTTGAGTTGGACAGGATTAAAGCATGGTTTGGGGCTGTTACGGATACAGCTTACCAAGAGGCCCACACCAGTCGGTACAGCTGTCTTAGTTCTGCTAATCTTTGTCATTTACTAGCTGCTTCAAGTTGTGCTTTAATGTATTGGGAGGTTTTATTACTAAAAGTGTTGAATAGTACTTGGGTTTTTGTATGGAATCCTTCTGGACTGTATTTTTGAGGTCTGCCAGTCATCAGTTACAGGTCATTTGATAAGTGCTTAGAAATTGGCTTCATCACGTTATCGTTCAAGTAAGGACAATGCAAACACCTGTCAGAGATCTAAGTATATTCAATTCTTTTCTTTGTCAACCAAATCTTAATCTGATGAGACAGTCTGTGCTTCGATATGTGGCTTTCAGATAATCATGTTGACTTTGACACGCATATTTTTCCCATCAGTGTCACCTGCAGCTTTAATACCCCTTACACACCTCTGCAATCAGTAAGACAGAATACAGTAACTCCTTCACAGTTAAGGAGGGCTTCCATCACTTTAGGCAACCTTTTAAATATGATCCCATGTCTGCTTTTCCTTAGTGATGAGCTGGGTTGGGTTGATGAGAGGTTTAGACACGAAGTGCTCGTGATCTGGATGTCAGAGTATTAGTGAACAAATCAGGTTAAAACAGTACTGTGGCAGAGCAGAGGTGACCAGCTAAAAGAGAAGTGAAGCCAAAAACATGTGAAACACTCATGGGAAAGCTGCTGTTGGGTTGTTTTTGTTTTAGTTCTTTTGTGTGTGTGTGTGATTAAAAAGCATACTTAATGAAGCAAAGGGAATGTGTCACATGGGGCAGAATGTTAGTGACATTTCCAGTAAAGAAGAAAAACAAGGCAAGAATAATTACATCTGAAGAGGTGTGGAGGACCATCACTAGATAAATGGTGAGGTCAAGTTTTCTTTAAAAATTAGTCATTTTTTCCCCAACAGTCCAATAAATGTGCGTATTGATATACCAAGTAGAAATAAAAGCAATAAAACAAGGCAGCAGATCATCTGATCAGTAATGTTGAACATTAATTTACATGTAATTGTAAGGTTCAAGAGCTAGCTTAGATTCAAAATATGCTCGATATTAGGACAATAATCTTTTTTTTCCCAGTCTGTCTTTAGGAACTACGATCATGACCATGATGGCTATATTTCTCAGGGAGACTTTGAAAGTATAGCTGCCAACTTCCCCTTTTTGGACTCTTTCTGTGTACTGGACAAAGACCAGTAAGTTTGGAGATTTCTTTGTGGGTTTTTTTCTTTTCCTCAATTTAAAAACTCATGACAAACAAATACTGAAGAAACAGGGTCTCGCAAGCTTCTTGTGTCTCGCGTCTCGCTTAAGGAACTGAAGATCACTGAAGGCTGATTTCTGTTCTCATTTAACCTCTTATGCTGTAGTCGGTTCTGTGAGACCACCCAGGCTGGAGTCCTGCTTTACCTGGTACTTTAAAAGTCATTTATGTAACAGCTTAATAACAGCTTAATGAGGAATTCCTGATGGGACTGAGCCAAAACTCATACAGTACTGTCAAATTACAGTGGAGGTCCTGTACCTAGACCAGGCATTAGACTGGTGCAACAGGGAAAATGAGTCTACTGTATGGGACAGGGAAAATGAGTGTACATAGCAGAGAGAGGCTAACGAATATTCTAGGTGGTATATATATTTCCTAGCCAGTTGGGCTCGATAGTTCTGGTTGTCCAGAATCTCTTTGGCGGTGAAGGCTGGTGGTCAGCCCAGTGAGCAGCAAGTCGAGGTCCTTCACATAATGGCCTGGGCTGTGCTCTGATATCATGAACAGGCAAGAAACCAAGGTCCGTGCTGTAAGGTCAGTGTTTGCTGTTTAATGAAGGATAAGAAACACAAAGGCTCTAAGGGATTTCTTTTTTTCTGCCAGGACTGTTGCAGTTCTTTTGAAGAACGTGTTTTGTGTGCTGCATGCTTTTTGCAATGGGAAAATTTTGAATTCTTCAGTGCTGTGAGCAGTGACAGATCCACTCTACTTTTTTCTCCCTAACAGAGATGGTCTTATAAGCAAAGAAGAAATGATGGCTTACTTTCTGAGAGCTAAATCACAGTTCCAGTGTAAAATGGGACCAGGGTTTATTCATAACTTTCAGGAGATGACCTATCTTAAACCAACTTTCTGTGAGCACTGTGCAGGATTTGTAAGTATGGTTTTAGTAACGGTATACCTTACACAACATTTTTTACCCTTTAACATAGACAGTGTGAAACTGGCTCTGTGCGTACTAAAATCAATTTGCCACGTATCCCATCGCGTTAAGAAGCAGAAAACATTCACTCGTGTTGTAGTTGTGCTGTCCAGTTTTGTGTTAGTGGTTCCCAAACACTGGCATTTGTAAGAATTAGAGTTGCAGGAGAAAAAATTAAATGATGTTAGCTAAAGGATATTGGAGACTATATGAATAGCCTTACTCGGTTTATCTTAAGTTCTCTAATTTGGCTTGATTTCCCATGTAAACAAGCTCGAGGGAAAATGGGTGTCTGGAACAGAGGATGTAGATGAAGCAAAAGCCATTCTTTCTCAGGAAATTGCACATGGCAACATAGCTACGTTCATAATTCTCTGAATGGCTGTAACAGCCTTAATCCTTTCTCTATTGAATTAACAGATCTTCTAATTTGGTCTAGAAATCAAAAGTACTTGCAGAAGTTCTGTACAGTAAGATTTTTTTTAATTTTTTTGATTTTTGTTTAAATTTCCTTTTTCTTTCAGCCATTATTTACCAGATGCCACTTATTAAAGTGCTTTACATTTAGCTGGGAAATGATTGGTTTCGTGAATATATGTGTTGCTTGTAAACCTCCAAGTTTTTCGCTTCAAACCAAGTAGAGTAAAGAAAAAGGAATTCCAATGGTTTAAAAGTTACATAAATGTACACACCCCGCTGAAGTCAGATGTTCACATTTAGACAGCTTAAGCGATGAGGGCAGAGGTTGATGTCCTCCGCTGACCTGTGGCTCAGTACAGGGTGTAAACTCAGAACAAGGTTCCTGCTCTCCAGCGTGGATCTGCCCCTGCTATTGGCATCAAAATCTCCAGCTTGTAGTATGTGAACTTTCCCGCTAAGTAATATTTTTTCATGGCTGAAGGTAACAATAGCACTGCTAAGTGCAAAAACGTGCATCCCCTCAGTCCAGTTCTGGTGTTCCTGCTCTTGTCCATGCTCCCATCTTCTGCTTGCTTCTCTTGTGACACGTCTCTTCAGATGCTCACGGTCCCTATCGCAACTGCTGACCAAGGCTGTCGGCGAGAAGGAATTCCACCTATTTCCGCTAGAACTGCAAAAGCCTCGGAGGCAACATGTTCAGTGCTGATTCAGGAGCGTGCTGGTGGGCTCTTGAGCTGACAGCTCCAGCAGACTGATGGGGCAGGGGCAATCACTGGCCTGAGCCTATTGTTTCAGGCTGCCCGCAGCCTCGGAAAGACGTCATTGCGCTCGTGACACTCGGTTCATGTTTGGAAGGCTTCCATAGCAAAGCAAGGCCCGAGGACTGCCCTGCAATGTCGTCTCCATCAGATGTTTTTGTCCTGCATCAGTTTGCTAACTGGCCATTGTTGGACTTTTCACGTCTCCCTGATTACATCCAGTGCAGGAATACAAATGAGTAAGGAAATGGAAATAAGGTCATTTTTCCTGTCAACTCACTGAAGTCATTGGCATTGTCCTGTGGATGAGTTGGGCTGACAGGACAGGAACCAACTACAAAATCTGGTGCGTACTTGTTCTGCATTTCAGTGCTGCTCATCCACGGGTGGAAACCTAATTTGAAACATGCACTGATTCACCATCAAAATAATGTGCTCTGGCAGTGCAGCAGGATGAACTGACGTGACAGCGCAATGCACACTATTCAATAAAAATATCTGTTATTAAAACCATACAAACTTTCAAGGTCAGTCTAAAACCTCATGCCATTAAGCAGCATGAAATCGATAAGCTCATGGCCGGCCACAGTTCCGTCCCACAGCTTGAGTTGCACCTCGTGGCATGGTAGGTAACCAGCCATCCTGCTGAGCTTTATAATCTGAATTTGCACAGATCCTCTTACCTTGGAGCTGGCTTGAGCCAGCTTTGCAGCAGAACTGCTGGTTCAGGCACATTCAAAGCTTTAGATCAGAATTCATGACATGGCACTTCAGATAATCTTTCACCGCTGTGTGTAACCACAACGGTGGTGTCACATTTGAGTAGGAGGAAGGTACAGGGCTAAGAAGATGAGGAGAGAGCTCTGGAGTGGGGACAGATTAGAGCTTAAATGAAAGAAATAACAACCCATGTCTCTTACTGTGATCCTGGCAAAGAGACCTGGGAAAAAAAGTCATTGCTGCTCTTCCAAGAGGGGCTGGGAGCTCCACTGTCACTGCCCAACCACAGCAACAGCATTCACTGTGCATGTACAAGGCATTAGCAGGAGAAGAGCAAGCAGCAGGCTTTCTACAGACCCTTCTTGCTGATGTTTTCCATTCTGATCTTTTATTCACCATTCTTCTACCTTTTTTGATCTATGCTAATTTATAACCTCTCTCCAAGCTCCCGTTTTTCCTTGCAAATATTTTTTTTGTGCAGCATATGGGATTTTTTCCCTCCAGAATCTTCTTATTCTGTTTATTTTACTTTTTTCCTTTGTATTCTAAATGTTCTCTGGGCTCTTCCTTTTGAACATTTCTTTAATGACCGTGTTCACCCCCTGCACGCTGTGTACGAATTCTTATAAATATGGTGAGGAGCCATGAGTAGTTTCAACTGCCTGGATGTCTCACCCTCCCTGCTAATGATTTGAATGAGTTTTAGAAAAATAAACACTGGACCCACGGGTTTTTTTCCTTTAATGCTCGATCTAGAAAAACTGCCCCTTCCCCTCTCTGCCTCTCAGAGTGAAAACATTTGCTTTTATAACACCATGGCTGTAGGTACAGCATTTCTGGCTGTATAGATAACAATTTGCTTGGGAATTTTCTGACTTCCAAGCAATCCTGCTCACATTGCAGTGAAAGCTTTGCAAAAGTGGGACCGCACAGAGTGTCTCCTGGAAGTTTAGCATTTGGTTGTTACATACGTCAACAAGGACAGCGTCTGGGAGGAGGCAACGAAAGAATTTAGTGACTTTTCTGCCTGCTTCAGTCTTCAGCCCTTTTTTTAATAGAAAAAGTCAGGTGGACTGACTTTCAGTCAGCAATCAGATTTCTATGGCTGGGTGTGTCAGGGATCGGTATGGGAACCAAGAACCTAATTTTTATCCCCAGTGGTGTTTTCTCCTTCTGTGTTTGAATGGCGTGCATCATTCATGTATCTGGAGAATGGATGTACAGCGGAAATTCCCCCGCAGATAACATTAAGTGAGCCTCGAAGCAGAATGTGCTCTGCTGGTTTCAGTAAGCTTGATATGAAGGCAATTATTCACCTGTTTCTGGAAGTAAGTGTCATCTGTGTCGCTCCTTCTCTGGTAATCCCACTGTAAGTAGTAGAAATAAGGGGGAAGCCACACAAGTCTTATCACAATTAGAGGGGGAGGTCTGCCTAACAGGAAGGGTGTTAAGAGCAGTTGTATCCTGTTTGTGCTTTTGTAGCCATCAGTACTTCCTCATTGTGACCTTGTTTTCCTTCCGGCTTTCTTTTCTGATTCCTTGACGTTCTTTTGTCTTTCTTTGCAGCTCTGGGGTATAATCAAACAAGGCTACAAATGCAAAGGTAAATAAATACTGCATGGATTTTTTCAAGCTGTCGGTGGTGGGTTTTAGCACAAGTACATCAACTGCATTTTTTACTAAATTGACATCTGTTCATCCAGATTTTGCTTCCACACTTGGTACTGTCCGTGAACAGTGACTGCTGGTACGCTGTGAAGTCTCACTGCATTCCGGGACACAGCGCCTAGTAGGAACACACAGGTTCTGTGAGCTAAAGGTCCAAAGCAACCACAGTCTCCACGAGGTATTACTTTTGACCAGCAAAGACTTGGAAGACCAAGTGTCTTCATCGTAACACCAAGACATCCTGAAATAGATCTCCTGAGACTTGGGGTCAGGAGAGGCTCTGCTGGCAGTGCTCTCTGTCATGTACATCCGCATGCCTGTAGTGAAGCTTAGCTGGCCCTGCACTGCTGTAGTGGCTGAGCTAGAAATAGAGAAATCCTAGACGGCCCAGCAGGTCTCATTGCAAGGTCTTCTGCAGACATTCAACTTAAAAGAAAAAAAAAAAAAAAGAAAAAAACCCCTACAGCTCTTACAGCCCTCTCTGCTGCTTTCATTAAGAGTTTAATTTCTTGTGCAGTACTTACACCATATTAAGCACGTCAGACCACGAGTGACATTGTAGTGGTCCTTATTGGCTTTAAAGTCCTGGGCCTATTTATTTCTCAAACAGCCCGGCTCTGGCTGAAGGGCACTGTTGATTTTCACAGTTGTAGTTGCATCTCAGTTGTTCACAAGGGAACATCCCTTCCAATATCTGAAGGGTCCTACAAGAAAGCTGGGGGGGACTTTTTACAAGGGCCTGTAGTGACAGGACAAGGGGTAATGGGTTTAAATTGAAAGTGGGGAGGTTTAGATTAGATGTCAGGAAGGAGTTCTTCCCGGAGAGGGTGGTGAGGCACTGGGCCAGGTTGCCCAGAGAAGCTGTGGATGCCCCATCCCTGGAAGTGTTCAAGGCCAGGCTGGATGAGGCTTTGAGCAACCTGGTCTAGTGGAAGGGGTCCCTGCCCATGGCAGGGGGGGTGGGACTAGATGATCTTTAAGGTCCCTTCCAACCCAAATCCTTCTGTGATTCTATGATACACTTTATTCCTATCTCTCTCTCCACCCATGAACATCTCTCCCTCAGAGAGGGATGGGAAAGATGTGCATGGCTAAACCAATGTATGTAATTCAGCTCTTCCCGATTACTGTCATCTGAGCATCTACAAAAGGGCTAGTTGTGGTCTGTACTTCTACTGGTAGGATGAGGGAAGGAAGATAGGGTCTTGTCACAGCAGCCCTGTAAACTAGATTTTAGATTTGAAAGGTGAGCTCTGCCCTGCATCATTGCTTGGAACAGTGGCCCAGGTGAGAGAGGGCACAAAGTGTCCCATAGACAAAATTACAGCCAACAGAGCATGAGAGTAAGAGCGCAGTGCTGCTCACTCAGACCTTAAAGTGGTCAACAAGCATAATCAGTGCCTGCTTTTTGTTGCAGCAGCTGCCACCTGCTCTGTGTGCCAGCACCACGAGTGCTGCACCCGTTACGGATGATTTCTGCCTCTGAGCACAGAGCTGTCACCTTCTGTTTTGAACCTCTGACACTCTGCTAGCAGGGGGAGGGAGGGAGTTCATCTGTTCAGGTCTGCTGCTTTCCCCAGCGCTGTGGGTGAGATAAACCTAGGCTGTGTGGTCTACAAATGATGGAGGAGGTTCTCCGCTACCAAGAGAGGTCTCTGTTGTATTGGGGATGGGAGGTGTTACCTTTAGGGCAGACAGAAATCACAGCGGGGTGCATACATCTGTATTTGTCATATGAACAAGGTGATCAGAGCATCCAAAGCTCTCACCCATCACGCTGGAGCTGTTGCCCTGAGCAGAATGGTTCTTTCAGCAGAGTTACAAACACAACTTCGGCAATGGCTCACCTCGAACAAAATGTTAGGTCATGGAGCAGCAACAAAGATAGGAGGGAGATGCAAATTTTCAAGCAAGGGCAAGAGACACAGAGAGGGAGAGAGCTTGTGTTTGGGGCGCACATCCTCCACCCTTTGGCCTTAGACCTGTACTGCAGTCACACTTAGATACGTGTAGCTACTGCTGAGAGTATTTGCAGTGAGATGCAGAGCTCAGCAGAAGCTAGGTGTGCAGCTTACTCCGTGCTGTACTCTGTTGCTGAGCTACTTAGACTAGTTACCACCTACAGTGGTCTGCACTAACCTCCAGCTATCCTTCCAGAGGCTCAGAGTGTGGATACTTCAGTGTCTTCTATCAAAGTGTGTTTACTATAATGGCCCCTGCTGGATCAAATAAATAAAATAAAAACCCACCCAAGCATTTTTTGGAGACTGCTATGATGGAGCAGAAGGTTTATGCATACCATACACAAGATCATTCCGGGTCTCTTCCTGGAGATTAATTTCTGATTAAAATATCAACCGCCCTCTTCCCTTCTGCTGACAGATTTCTATGAATGGCTGCCATGGAAATGATCCATGTTTTGTAACACCCTTCCTACCAAGTGATCCATTTCTGTAACTCCTTTCACACCTTCTGTCAAAGTATTTGTTCCTTCGAAATCCCTCCTGCTGTCTGTCTGCTAATAACCCTGAGGGGCTGACAGATAATTGTGGCTTTCCATTTGGCGACTTGGCAATTCCTTTCTTTACAGACTGCGGTGCCAACTGTCACAAGCAATGCAGAGACCTGCTTGTGCTGGCGTGCAGGAAATTTTCCAGAGGAACCTCGGTAGGCAGCAACCATGGCTCTCTGCCTAGCAGTCCGTCTCTGCCTCCAGGTGAGAGCACGTTCGTTCCTATTTTCAACCACATCTGGAATCCCCTCTAACATCCAGTGTCCTTGCTGCCATTTTTAATTTTTCCTTTGTATCATGGCACAGAGCAGCACATGCACTTTCCACTGCACCATGGCTTGAGTTCAGTGCTTGGATTGCAACGACCCTTTCTGCAGCGGTGGCCTTAGTCTCCTGCCTGAGGCTCCCTATCCTCTATACTCGCACCCCTATCCCAGACAAAAAGAAGTAAAGTTATAATGGATGAATTATAATCATAATGCTCCCTAGTAGCCACTTAGGGGCAGGGAGGCATCGGGCACAATTCCAGCTCTGGCTTATTCCCCGAGCATGCAGATGGAGGGAGAAGGAAATGTGCGCACACAAGGCCAGAATCGGTTTCCCAGCAGCAGATGGATATTGCTAATTACATACTGCTTCATATAGGGGGTTACCTCCCCTCCGCCGCAGGCTTACGTGATCCTTTTGTAACGATCTTGGAGTATTGCAAATGAACAATTCCACCTTCTCTTTCAGTCCAAGATGAAGTATTTGAATTCCCCAGTGTTGCTGCGGAACACCAGGACCTCGATGGCAGAGCTATCACCCTCGTCACTGGCTCTTCCCGGAAAATTTCGGTGCGGCTGCAGAGGGCAACCACCAGTCAAGCAACACAGACAGAACCACTGTGGCATGAGCCAGGCTGGAATGATTCAGGTTCCCATACTTTCCCCAAAATGAAGTCCAAGTTCCACGGCAAAGCTGGGAAGAATAAAGGTTTTGCAAAATGGGAGAATGAAAAGCCCAGCATGCAGGCTGATATAGAGCTGGAAGCTGAGGCCCCACAACACGTACAGGATCACAACGGAATAGAAACCCTCCCAGAAAGACAAGAATCTGAGGTGAGTTGCAAAACCAGCTGAGACAGCTTAAAAATCCACTAGTCTGGGGTCTCGTGTGGTTCATTTAAGAATTTCAGGATGCTTTTTCATTCACATTTGTCACTGCGTCTTGCACAAGAGGTGCTTTCAGAAGAATGCCAAATGATCCACAGACACCTCTTTTCTGCACTGCAGTGCGCACTTCCTGCAACCGGGGGGTTGGCTCTTGGTGCCAGTACGTGCTTCGGAGTTGGGTACTTTTTGCAAATCATGAAATGTAGCCTGGTGGACATCTGACTAAATTCCATCCTGCTGTACCCTTGCAGCGCGCAGCGCAGGGCTCCACAGGAGATCCACCGGAACCAGCATTCTGATAAAGCGTAGAATCATGGAATGGTTTGGGTTGGAAAGGACCTCAGGGTATTGGTCCGACTGCTATCGCACGTGAAGTCTGTACTTCCAAAGCCTCATTGACCATCTTTGCTAGCGTGTAAGTGCCTGTTTCCTTTTGGTTACAGGACAGCTGATTGCCCACCCTGAAGCACCGAAACGTGAAGATGACCACTGTAATACAGCAAGCCCTGATGGACTGTCACAGACCACACTTGGCCACGAGAAGTTTTCCCGTACCTCATACTTTCAAAGTCAACCATTGCCCTCTTTTCTTAGCTGAAGGGTGTTACAGAGCACTTTTTATTTTCTCACGAGTAAGCTGTTTGGATGAACAGTGAACGGACACAGTGGAACAGATCTCGGTGTTTTCTCTTGTATGACTTCTCTGGAAACTTCCTCTACATGCCAGTGAGGATATATTCGGCCTCCTTTAAATATACTGCATCATTTCAGTACATCTGCCAGCAACAACAATGGCAAGGACAGAAGCCAAGCATCTAAGTTTGTTCAGTAACACTCCTTTTCCAGAGGCTCGTAACGATCTTCTAAGGAAAGAAGTAGGTGTGTACACTGATTAAATCTCAAACAAAAACCTTTCACTAAGTCCTCTACACTCAAGTTCTCTGCACACCTGGGGTTTTGAATTTTGGCCGTGTTTACATTGCCACAGTGAGTGTTCAGCACAGTGATACCAGTTCTCAGACTGGGAATCCTTCCAATAGGTGGCCAAGGTTGAAGGACTTTCAAGACATTATGCAGACGTCTGGTCACACTGCAATGGAGAGGGGTCTTCTCTGCCAGCGCTGATTATGGTTAAAATTAGCATGTAATAAACACCTTAGTTTTAAATGTGCGTTATGTTTTTCTCTGGTTAGCAGCCCGCACACGTTACGACTAAACGTGCTGAAAAGCAGCCTCCGAATGAGCAGTTGGGTAATGTAGGATGCAGCACCTGAATGTGTAATGGCCTGAGAGGCAGGTCTGAAGTGGCATTTCTCAGAAGCATTAAGTTCCTTAAGGATCACAGCCCTCATCTAGAAAAAGAGAGAAAATCAACAGAGTACAAAGCTCAACCTGCAAGGTGCCTTCCAAACTGACATGCATGTATTCTAGATGATCTTTAAGGTCCCTTCCAACCCAAACCACGCTATGATTCTATGTATTGTTCTTCTTACCCCCTTTCCCCACAGGAATAAGAGTGGATGTGGAGCACACACTCTGAAATAAAGCAACCTAATTATAAGCTTTCCTACTAAATTCAAGTTATTGCACCCTTCAAGTTAGAAACCCTCAAGACCAGAGAGTACTTTCACAGACTCCCCCAGCCAAAACTGACAGCTGCACACCTCTGGGTTAATTTGACTGTAATCTGCACTGCGACTACGTGACGGCGCCTCAGGTTTGCATCTTGAATCCTGCAGATTTCCTCTGTTTCCCAAGGCAGCTAGTAATGATGGTAAATTTGGGGAGAGGAAAAAAAAAAAAAAGAGAGAACATGCTCTTACTGTTATAAACTCAGAAAATAAGCACTGCAGGGAGCACTGATTTCCAAGCTAGGACGAGGGCCAGAAGCATCCTTGACTCTTACTGCTGTGGGCAAAGAGCAGGTATTAGCCAAAATACGGTCTTTATTTCCTGTGGTGGGTGAGGTGACGGGTCACAACAGGCTGGCCGCACAGCTACTGTTACAGCGTACGGCCTGCACACAATGACAATTCTGTGGTAGAGAATTTGAATGGAGAAATTTGGTTATGGTCCAGGCTGTTGATGGATCTGTTGAGATAAGCCTGTCAATGCTTTATAAATGAAATGTTCATGTTAAGAATGAAGTTGCACATCACGTAAGGGTTTTGAACAGCATTTAATCGGCAGCCATCAGCGTATTGCTTGCGAGCTTTTGAAAGTGAGTTGTAACTCTTGCTCTGAAAGGTACCTGCTTTCCCCCTTATGGCAGGCCCACAAACCATGCCCGTCTTCATTCCGTTGTTGGGCAAGACTATTTTAGCTCCCCAATCTGGGCAAAGCAGCTGTTACTTGTTTGCCTTCCCTGACTCAAGAAAGGCAAAACGCACCAGCCGCTGCAGATCCCGGCTGAGCTATGGGCCTCTGCTGGCCTCGGTAGACATAGAGCAATCCCAGGAGAGTGTCCAGGAGAAGGTGTCATAATGACAAGAGCACTGGATTAATTAAGTAGCTAAAGTGAGATACAATCCCAGGTGATGCTGGATACTTCGACCACATCCATTCATCCCTGTCTCAGTCCTCAGGATCTTTTAAGAAACTGGTGGGGAGAAGGGAGGGGTTTTAAAAACAAACAAAACACTAATCCCACACCACCTCCCGAAAAACCAACCACCACCACAAGGGATGGAGCTGTCTGCTCAGAGGAGCCTTCCTCATGCAGGTGAAGTCTGAAGGAGGGGAGGCAGGGGGGACAGTAAGATGCTGGCTGACCAGAGCCGGTCTGAAGCATGGATTTTGCCCGGCTGTGACAGGTGAGCCTTTTGCCTTTCAGTACAGAAGGTGGAAAGCTGAGCTGCAGAGCAAATTTAGGGGTAGCGCCTGCCTAAATTTTTTACATTTTCTTCTGACTGCTGTCACTTCTGCGGACTGTTGCTCAGGGACTCCTCTCTGGAAGCCAAAGTGAAAGCATGGCCTAACATCCCCCAAGGCTCTACTCACAGGGAGCCTGGAAGGCTTTGGCTGAGACAGGAAGGTCCTTGCAGCCTGGGACACGAGTTCCAGAAGGTTTTGGGTGTTTGTCCAGGAAATAGCTGCACGCAAAGGATCTGAACACAGAGGGGTGAAAAAATGGAGAACAGCAGACAGACGAGGAGTAAGCATGGGAAGAAGCATGACGAGTGCTCTCCCTCTCTACGTGACACCAAGAACGGAAGGGGATCCCAGAGTAAAGGAGGAAGATCCGAATACAGGTTTCATGGAGGCTCAAGAGGCAGGAGAAACAAGGGCTTGTTGTTTCATGGTCATCGTAGCCAAAAAATCGAACCAAAGCTTGCTTCATTCAGCATCAGCCTGCTAACTGATGGGCCGCTGTACAGCACAAAAAAAGCTCCAAGTATTTCTCCAGAGAATCTTGACGACAGCGTTGGCCCACCCAGGGACACTGGAGAAATAGATGTAACCTTGGAACAAGTTTTTAAGTTATCAGCACTGATCTGAGCTGGATTTTCAAAACAAGCACTGCAGCCAAGAGGCTAAACTCATTGGAAAACCTGTGTGCTGAACTCTGAAGCGCTGTTTTCAGCTGCTGACAGTCTGGTCCTAGGAGACAGAAAAGCCATCAGCAGAAGGCTACCGCTGGGGCAGTATGAAATTTAGCCAAAAAGTCTGCTTTTTCCATGAGTTAAGCCAATGCCGGAAAGTTTAAAGGGTCCTTATCACCTTCATCTCTGCTTCATGTGTGAAAACGAGTTATGACCTTCCACCTGCCCGCAGCACAGGCAGGCTCCCTCTTTCTTTGGTTTTACAATAGTGTTTTCCTACTTTTTGTGCTTGTTTTTCTCTCCTCTGTTGTGGGAAAGACCCACGTGGACAAGAGGGGAAATCACTGGACAATAAAGGGGAAACAATGACACTGACAGCACTCAGAGCTGTAAAAAGCACAAAGTAAACACGAGAGAAAAATATTTTTTCCCTTCTACCCTTGTTTGTTAAGCCATTAGAGGTGCGACTTATTTTCGGCCAAAGAGGAGAGAAGGCATGTTTACCGCTGGTAAGAGCACTTGCTTTTTCAGTCTGTGCCCCTCTGACAAGGCAGAACCCAAACCAAAAACAGGCACATGAGTATTTTGAGAGCCTACACAAGGGAACCAGTTCACATCCCCCTCAGCGCGCTGCGCTCCCAGCACAACGCTGCCGTGATTCTAACCTCGGGCTGCGCTAGGAGTCGGAGAAAGCAGGCCTGCAGCTTAGCCTGAGCCGGCTCGGCCGGGGCTGCGGAATCATGCTCAAGGCCTTAAAATGCATGCATGCTTCCGTAGAATCCCTGTTGTCCAAGGAAAAAATCACAAGTTCAGAGAGGAAGCAGGATCACAATCCTGACAGTTTTTAGCAGTAGGAGCACAAGAGACTCTACTGCAGTCCTAAATATGGCAGAATTAATAATAAACCACGCGCGAGGAGCAGGCACTTGAGGGCTTTTGTGTGCTGGCTCTCATTAACCCAACAGGTTAACTTCACTGAGAACCCACACGAGCCTTTGGGACACCCGAGAGTCATCAGATCGTAGTGAGAATCCTCTTCCTCTCCACTCAACTCTTCCCACTTAAGCACAGTTTAATTTTCATTTCATAATGAACCTATGATCCCCCCCTTTTTTTTTTTTTTCCCCCCTCCTTGCTTCCATCATCTGCTTTCCCTGTGGATGTTCTAATGTTGCAAGACAAAAATTCCCAGGTGTATAACCGGTTCCAGGGAATCCTCTCATGCGCAGCTCCAGTCACTTCTCGCAGCTACTGACACGAAGCCTGCATCCCACATTTCCATCTTAGGTACCTGACTGATGTCTGGCTTCTGCTTAGGCCAGAGGTCGGCCGAGGCACTTGCTACTTCTCGCAGCTACTGACACGAAGCCTGCATCCCACATTTCCATCTTAGGTATCTTAGGTATGTCTGGCTTCTGCTTAGGCCAGAGGTCGGCCGAGGCACTTGCTACTTCCGTTAACTCAGACGCACGGAGCGGTTAAACGCTGACGCGCAGCCGAAGGCCTCGCTGGTTCAAGCAGGTTTTACCCCCACGCTCTGGCCGAGGCGGCTAACCCACAGCTAGAGGAGTCCCTCTGGGGTGCACCAGCTGTAGTAGCACAGGGGTTTGACTAAAGCCAGGGAATCTCACCAAGGAGCTAAGGATTACCAGCCACCACCAATCCGAACAGATGACAAACCACTCGGGGCACAGCTACCAGCCAAAAGGCTTCCTGAGGCGGGCGACGCGCGGTGGCGGCTCAGCTTGGTGCCCTTCCCCTTGCTGCGCTACTGTTTTGCAGACAGTAAACTTTCATCCACCCCTTACACCTGTAAGGAAAACCCAACCCTGCCCACGGTGCGTACAGATGACGGTACCAATGGGCCTGAGGCGGGCCCAGCGTCCCCCGCTCCCCGCGGTTATGTTGCTGCGCAGTGGCAGCGCTCGGAAAGGGGCGATCCTCACAGGCGGAACGGAGAGCAACGCAGGCAAGGCACGCGGGAGGCAGAAGTTGCTAGAGAAAGGCAGGCAGACAGGAAAACGGACCAGGACGCTTACAAAGCTGGTGGAGGAAGAGTGGCATGAACAACCACGGTTAGGAGGAAGAACACTTGGATCCCCTGTACAGACCCTTGCTTACTTCAGTGCCCTCTTGGTCTGCCGTAGTTCTGCTTTCAACCGTGATGCACAACGAGATCGGGCACGTACATCCCATCTCCACAACCCATCTCTCCTCTCCCGGCTCCCATCAGAGAGATTCTTTCCAGCGCTTCAGGTTTGGAAAACAGTAAATATCGGAACGTCATACGGACGCTAACAAAGCAGCGGCTGTTGGCTTTCGTTAAGCAAAGCTGCTCCCCCCGCATACACAGAGCTTGTTT